CAGTGACAGTCAGTTCCGGTCATACGATTCTGAGCCGTTTCCAGACGTTCAGTTTACTGCAGATGAAGGTTTTCCTGTTTTTTGTGTTTTGCTTGCATTTAGAGTCATCTAGTGGGTAACATAATAAATTTCACCCAAGTTTTCTTAAAGGAATTAGTATATTTCTAGCTACCTTGGATATGAGCATCTGACCGAAACTCCCTTCGTTTTAGTTACCGTTTATTTTTAGTGCGGTTTATGAGCGTAAAATTCTGGTTTCTTACCGAACAATGAACAGATAACTTTTGTAATATATAGGAATTTTACTAACTGCTGTTGAATACTACCGACTTCAACTTTCACTAAGCTTTCAAATTATGGATAGCGTCCTAAACAATTGTTTTAGTAAAGGAGCGCTATGGCCTCTAATTTTTTCGGGATATTTTCATTTTGAGGTGGCTGATTATGGATCTATTAACTCCTGTTGCATATTACTGTTTACTTTAATTTCTTTGAAGTTGAGGGTTATCCGGCAACTTCTGCTCGTGAATGCTGCTGTGAAGACTTTCCGCGTTCGGAACCTGATGTATTTGTAAGAGGTAACAAGGTTTATTCGTTTTTTATCGTGTGCTTTCATTTTCTTTGAAGTAGATAACTCACTACTTCCTCCAGTCAGTATAATCAATTGGATTGAAGATGTGACTGTTATCTTGTTAAATAAGAATTAAAAATTTCCTACCAGTTTTCCAGTGATTAGTGCTTGTAGTTGTTATCTGAGATTAAAGCAATAGGTTACTAAGAATTATTTCAAAAACTGTATTCAAAGCCTTTTGAATTTGCGGCTTTTATGGTTTTAGAGAGGAGTTTTTTGCGATTTTTGGGAATTTATTTGGTAAAACTCTCATTTAAATGTCTTGGAGGGGCCATCTAGTGGAAGTCTAAGATTTTTTTTCAAACGGTATTCTGAGTAATTTTTTGCTCTGGAATCAAGACTAGTTTTAGTGATGAATGTGGCGTTTTCTTCGATAAAGTTTCTCTATTAAAATTTTAGCAAGAACCAAAAAATTTAGAGGAACGTTATTTTGCTGTCTTTTATTAGGTTATATGAAAAGTAATAGTGAAAAACACATGAGTTATATACTTTTACTCGCTGCTTTTATTAAGCACTTCGCCCTGTGCTTTGTCCAGCTCCTGGTGGCCTGCCATTTCGACACGATCCTGTGAAGACGCTGGAATTGTACAAAAAGATTTGGTCTGATAACCCTCCACCAGGGGAGAAGAAAAGGCTTGGACTAAGGTGGAAGGTTCGTGATTTTATGTTGAGAAGAGAAGTATCGTCAGTGACTTATGAAGATCTTACCAAAGCCAGAAAAATCAATCCAGAATGGCTTCCGAAGTGGTATCTATGACGAAGCTATTGCTAAGAGCTTGAAATGTTTTGTAGCGGCTTGTACATATAAACTATTTGAAAGTTTTGCGTCTTATCTGTATTGTGTTGCAGCTGTGTTTTTTTTAGAATGCTTATATCGTTCATCTTTTTTAGATACAGTGAACTTTTGGACAGGTATTAAGGAGATTTTACCAATATTTTTAGATACAGTGAACTTTTGGACAGGTATTAAGGAGATTTTACCAGTAGAAAGATGTGAGTATAGTTAGGATTTCTGGGAATTTCAATTCAATAAGGTTGATTATACATGAAAATTACTTGTTAGTAGGTTTTAATAGATGGCTCTTCTTTGTGTTTTACTTTAATAGTAGAATATGCTTGTAGTTGATCGTGATGTGATTGAGCAGCATCTTTGGACGGCTGAGGTTTAGTATGATACTTTAAATAAGGGTGGGAATTATTTGTGCCTTTCTTGTTATGCCGATATATTGAATAATTGGTATTTCCGTCGAGTATCATTTCTGCAAAGAAACTCAGTGATATTTCGGGATTGGATGTAGCGTGCGAAGGTGTCAGAAATGGAAGCTTCTGGAGTTGAATAATGGGTCTCATGAAGTTTTTTGTGTTGCGTTCCACACGTTTTCCACTCTTCATGAAAGGGTGTCTAG